AAGAGGTCTGCTATGTGTGTAAGAAATCCCAGTGCAAGACATGGCAATGCTTTCATTTTATTAGGAGTTTATATAGGTGAAGGACATTTTTGTGCTATCTTCTGCAGAACTGTTGCAACTTTCAGTTTCAAGCAGAGTTGAAGCACATTCCCCTGTTCTTTATGCGCACGTGAATGTTTCTTTGCCTGGAAGAGAGGTTAAAAATGATAAAGGATGCCTTCAGGTCCCTGATACACAGGGCTCAGAGGACAAAGAAGGAAAGGAAAATACTCCTTAAATCATCACTTAAGTGTTATTCACAGTAAGTAAGGCTACATATTCTTGACAGGGAGTTCAGGGTTACCATGGACATGTGTTAATGAATTCCAATAAGCTCAAGAGCTGACGCTTCCTGACACCTCCTGGTAGAATAATTCACCTCTGTGCTGGAGGACAGCACTAAGACACCTCTAATGCCCGTCTGGCTGCAGACGATAAAGGTTATGACTTCTTTTGTGGGGTTTTTAGAGACAAATGCCTGCCATCGTGTCTTGCTTGGGCTTGGGCCTGCTCCCAGCCTCCTCTCCTGATTGCTTCTGCAGCAAGAGTGAGGAAAATATTAAAAAGGCACCTATGAAAAATTGTTATTATTTTTTGCCCAGTAGTGGACCTAATTACTCTGAATTGTTCCATTTTCATGTGGAATCATGATGTTCGCTTTGGAAAGACAAACCCATTTCTCAGGTGCATAGAGAAATGCCGGTAAAATGACTTTCAAGCTGTTTTGCGTTTTGCAAGAAGCATTTTGCACGCTGGTCACAGTGAAGCGACCAGAGGCAACAAGTGAGACACCGCTGCCACAGGGACTCGCCAGATGCTCTCGCTGTAGTTATTCCCAGACTCCTTGCAGGCCTCCAGCTCTTGTCAGACCGGTTGCACACACAAAACTGTAAATGACACTTCATCCTGCCTCTTGGCTACATGATTTTCCCCATGGACCAAAGCTTTATAGACGAGGATGCTCCATTTATCTCTCCCCTGAGACATTTGGCACCAGGCAGCTTCAAAGTCCTGGTGCCTGGTCCAGATTGCCCTGACTGGGAGACCAAATGGCTGTTGTTCCTAATGCTAAAACTTCACTTGGGAACGTTACAGGGGAGCTGGAAGGTTCAGAGCTTTAACCCGCAGGAGCAGCATGTTTCTGGTTGCAGCTGCTGAGAGCTTGCACAAACAGGAGTTTGATGAAGTGCAGGGATGCAGAGACTGTCAACGCAAGGCGGGCGCCAGCACCAGCTGCTCGTCCATCCCTGGCTCCCGGATGGATCCGGATACACTACCAGCTCAGTCCTTTTCTTTTTTGTACCCCAAACTTTCCCTCCTGTAATGACTGAGGTCCCCCATCCCCTCTGAAGCTATGCTCTGCACCAGGGGGACGAGGCATCCTTGCTGCCACTTTGCTCCCTGTGTAGCTGGGTTTGAAACCTTCCTCGCTCTCTTTACCCCACTCTTGGTTCATGGCCAAAGCCCTAACGATGTTGTGTCTGACGAACCTCCCACCCCCATCTGTTGCACAATACAGCCGACAGCTGGTGCTGGGCTGCTGGCTTCCAGCATGGTCATTACCACCGTGCCATGCCGCGCCAGGTCGTTAACCGTGGCGCCTTCGTTCAGAAGATCCCACTCAGCATGTCTCTGCCTGACTGCATCGTCTTCAGCCTTAAAATGTAAAACCAGTATTTGAGCAGGCCAGGAGCAGAACAGAGGGCAGCAGCCTGGGTTAATGGAGGAAGGAGGGGAGAGCCAGACCATCAGTTCTTATCCAGGCTTTTTTTCCTAGAGATTTGGACTCTGATCCTTGTTACTGCAGAGTTAGCTGGGAGGCAATGCTCCTAAAAGCAGAATTTGGTTCTGCAAGCCCATTCATCCAGGGATAGAAAAGCTGGAATTTGAGCTTCTCTAAGAGATGTCTGCTGATGGCAGATGGGTGTGTGAGCCTGATCACCAGAAATCCCTGCCTGCACCGGGTGAAGTCAAAAGGGAAGCTCCCTTAGCGCCACAGACTGGGGCATCTGGCTACAGATAAGACTCAATCTTCCCAACAGAGATTTTAGAACCACCTAATAGCATTGAGTTGGAAGTAATTCTGTCACTTGTCTGACACGACCACTTGCAATGTGTAAACCCAAAATTACCTAGAGCCCAAGCCACATGAAATGAATCAAGTCTTAGACGTCACTAGCATTTGGACCTGGCCTTCTGCTAAGACAGTGCAATCTGGCACCAGCACAGATTAAATATAAAGCTCATTCTTAAAAATACCCCGAGCAAATTGTATCCTTTCATATGCAGAGAAGACAGAAAGCAGAGCTCAGCTATAAATTGCTGGGGTGAATAATCATAGCTTTTCCTCAGCCACCACACATCTGAGGTCACCTGGAAAAGTATTTTTCTGCCTGCATGCTAGATCTGGGCAGACTTTGAGGACTTTGCTATTTGTCTGAGTTCCTGGACACCCGCCAGCACAGTCTGAGCAATCACCGCAGCTTGGCAGCTGCAGGTGTGGGGAGATTTTTTGGCTGTGCGGTCCCTGCTTGCGGGCAGCTCGTGTGCTGCGAGTCGCATGCAATGGACCTATTTCGCAGACGGAGTCCACATGCTCAGAGCAGCGGGTGCAGCATCCGTGCGGGAGACCAGATTCATGCCAGATGTGCTGGGCTCGCTGCCTACACTCCACCCAGCTGCATGCAATCAGCTTGCTTTCTAGGAAATCCCAGACATGTGTAGTAGCCCTTGTCTGCATGATATTTAGACTTGCAGGAGGTCCAGATACTCACCGGTTCTGATAGCACAACAGACACTCATTGCCGTACAGGAGGTTGTCCGTGCCACAGACAGGGTCAAAGATCCTTGTACAACCTCTACTTAGGTCATAGTTGTCACAAGCTGGCTGGAGACACAAAAAGGTAACGCTGAAAATGTTAAACATGCTTTCAGTTTACCAAAGGAGTTTTGCATTCACAGAGGCGCGCGTATTTTTTGTATCTTGGTAACCCATCCCAGATTGTTCAGAGCTCTGCTAGGAACTCTCAGAAACGCTGGGACTGCCTGTCAACATGCTGTCCCTTGGCCAGCTGAACTTCACCTGGCACTCCTGCGCACCCTTAGGAGTGACAATATTGAGTAATGTTCCATGGGCAGCGCCTGATCATGTTCTTCCCAGTTCTTACTTTTATGCCACAATGATACCAGCCCTTGCACTTGCAAGCTACAGAGTAAGGGGAGCTCTGATCTTCTTGGCAGGTAACAGCAGTATTCAGCTCCTTATTAACTGTTTTCCTCCACTGAGTGTGGGGAAATGCAGTGGGAAACCAGTACCATTACTGGGATTTTGCTGTGGCACAGCAGGTAGAAGGAGGTTCCCAGGCACTGGTGTCTTTGGGCTGCCAACCCAGTAGCAGCTCACTGTACTTCACTGTATTTATCAACTCTGGCTCCCCAGCGTATGGGTTAGTGCTGTCTCACCAAAGCTGGGCACACCCTTGTACTACACAAAAATAAGAGCCTTCACCTCTATTCCTCTGTCAGCAGCTCCACCCATCTCAGCGTTTCCTAGAGAAAGAATGGAGAGAAAGAGAGAAGATGCCTTAGCACCCATCACACGGGCCGGTTTCACGGGAGACCTACTAAAGATGCTTTAGCCTGAGGACCACAAGGGTGGACCTTTAGGTCTCACACCAAAGCTGGTAGGAATAAGCCATGACTTCGGTGGGCTTCTCTATGGAAAAGCTGGCCCTGAACTGACAGCTGGGATCACATGGGTGGAACATGCGGTGAGTGTATTTTGAAAAACAACCTGAATTTGTTCAACAGAAGGGAGTACTGAGAAGACGACCTTGGGTTGCTTATAGATCCAGAAGTTATCAATATGGAGGATTTAGGCTACATCTACATTAACAACCAATGTGACCCAATAGCTGTGGGTCTGTGGAGTGAAACAGTTTGGTGCTGAGGACCTGATAGCCACACTCTTTTGGGGTTCAGGGATTTTATTTTGGACTAGTGGTGGTCCAGACCCAGAGCTGTAGCTGACTACATGCTCAGTTCATCTGAAATGAGTCCAGATTTTGCTCTCAGACAGTTCTGCAATGGCAACCGCCAGACAGTAAATGGATGATGAGGACTTGTTTCAGAAGCACCCTCCTGTTCTGAATGAACCCAATGAACACAGAAATCCCTGGTGAGCAGGACCTGAAGAGCAGCAACAGCTCATGTTCTCATCCCTCTGCACCATATGGGATTTTGAAAACACGGTTAGCTTAAACATTGACTTTGGTTGCGAAAGCTGCATTTTCCCTTGCATGGATGCGCTTCCTGTCTTCTTGGGTTTGCTTTTTTTAAACCAGAATAGCACCTGTTCACTCTAAAAGAATTGCAGTGTCCTAGAAATCACCATCTCCAGGCCGAATCCCAGCCCTGAAGGGAGAGCGTCAGACCAGCAGGTCTTTTCATTTTGGGAGCAGGTGCCAGGCACCCTTTTAAAGCCTTTGCTTTAGGCTTGCTCACAGACCACTGGTTTAATGCACGTTGGCCATTGCAGCACTCTCTGGGGATTGCTCGCTTTCCCTGCCCAGGGCCGGAGCAAGGTCCCAGCACCGGCTGGCCTGTTCCCAGGCTCACCTTCCCACCCAGCAGACCTGGGAGCTTTAGCAAGGAGAGGAAATGGCTCCTAAGCAAAATGTTGCACTCACCTTGGTAGCAGCAGAATGCCAGGGAGAGGAGCAGGAAAACACCAGTTGCCTTCATGGTCAAGGTTATGCTTTACTGGGGACAGCAAAGAGGAAATGGGACACTTCTCAGGCTTTCAGAGATGTGTGTCTGGCAGTCTCTGCTGGGACCTTTATACCTTTCCCCATCTCTGGCACCACCCTGCATGGCCAGCTCCACCCTGCAGTCTTGTGATGACAACATTCAAACTATGGGGACAACAGCAGGTGGCAAATAGCTCATTGGTGTACGCAAGGATGAAAGCCTCTCTGAAACCAATGGAGGTAACGATCCTTATCGCTGGCAAGGACTGGAGCGGCATCTTGGCTGTGGGAGACAGCCTTGGGTCTGCACTGCAAGTCAGTAAAAAGAGACTTTGTACAAGAAGCAGTTTGGAGAAATGGGCAGGACAGGAAGGGAAATATATGTGTTAGCATGAGTAGTGTGGCTTTGATTAATGACCCTGCCACTACCTCTTGCAGGGCTCTGGGTGAAGATGGCATTGGTTCACACACGTCTTTCCTGGCATGATCTGCAGAGCAGAGCTGAGGCGTCACAGCTCTCCTTCCCACCCCAAACAGATAGGGACAGCAGCAAGAACTGCTGCTGGAGAGCAGAGAGCTTAGATGTGCCTGGGGCTTGCTTGTGGCTGCACGTTCAGTGCTGTTATTTTGACTGCACATCTCTCTGATTGTAGGCAGGCAGCCGAAACGAGCTTGTTGGGTTGGATGCTGCTCCCTTCGCCTCTCCCTGCCTGCAGTTTGGAGTAAACCCCAGGGATTTCCTACATTTACTCCACCAATGGTGCATTGCGGAGAGAGGATCAGTCCCTTGGGTATTAGAAGAATTAATTAATTTTCTAAAGCACTTTGATATCTCAGCCATAAATCACTGGAGAAGTGCAAAGCAAATTATTACTAATGGGGGCTTATGACTCAAAGACAGATTTTTAATTAGCTGAACAGGAAAAAGTCAATGCCAAGAGCAATTCAAGGAGCTGTTTATGAGACAGAAATCTCAGCTCAATCGGCAGCTGCTCCACTGTCCAAGGGAGACCCCAGTCCGAATGTGGCTCTGGAGGACACTTTCCCCTGCCAGAAGCATCTCTTGTGAGTTTGCTTCGGTGGTGATGGAGATTTTCCCTGCTCTCGTCTGGGCTTCCCTCTGCTCTCCCTGTTGGGACCTGCAACATGAGGCTTTAAGAACTGCTCTTAATGGCATCTGTTATTTTATTAACTCAGAGAGTAAAGCTGGCTTTGGGTATGACCCGCTCACCAGCTGTGAATAGCTGAGCAGGGTGTTCGTGGACCTCTGTGAGCAAGCAACAGTCCTTTAGCGTGCCTGGGACAAGGATTCATGTGGTGTTATCACCCTCTAAGGAGCAAGGGAGGGAGGTATGATCATTTTTTATAGCTGAAAGAGGTTTATCTCAATCCAGCACTGTCCCCTGTTGCTTCTCCAACACACCTGCCAGGTTTGCAGCGTAAGTAAGGCCAATAGGTGCAAATAGGGGCTTTGGTCTCACCTCCCAAAGTTGGAAGGGGACTTAGCAAGGGCATTTACGGTTATATGCCAGGGCAACTGGGGAAAAGATTTTCCTTTTCAATCTGTAACACATGTAAATAGACCAGTGCTGAGAAGAGTTTCTCTGATTACCCTTGTTTGGGATGTGCCCACTCCTGGTAAAACACATTTGCACATTTTGCAGTTTAGAGATCCTTGCTGTAGCCAGGAAATGTGATAGTTTTGATTGTCCAGAAACAGCAACATCTTTTATCGGAATCCTTGGTAACATCCAGGCACATTTCCAAACTTGAGTTTGATGGGTAAATCCTCAGTGTTTACAAGAGCTGCTCTGCAGATGGGAACTGTGTTGGCTCCTGGGACATTTCAAGTGTGTGTAACGCCATGGTTTTCTCCTTTCCTTCCTGCATAAGTCAGAGGCATCAAAGCAGACACAGGCTGACGACCTCCCCCTGCCTCCCGGACACTACTCTCTTCATCTTCTTATTGCTGAGCCTCCTGATAGATTTGTACTGACTCAATTTCATGTTTGTAACCCCTCCCAGAGCTGTATGAGATTAAGTACTTTACTACTGAAGCAGGTTGAAGAAACTCCAGATTATACAATGAACTGAACTTAATTATTCCACAACAAATTGAGCCAAACCAACTGATTCAAGGGCAGTTGCCTCTGCCAAAAGAAGAATCCAGCATAGGCTGCTAATGCTTCTGCAGCCGAATAGCAGTTACACTAGGTTTTTAATGCAGTTTCTGCGGTAGCAATTGCCCTTCCTTTCCAAGTGCCTCTACTGACATCTGTCTGTTTATGAGATGCCTTCAAAAACGTGGGATTTCAGGGCTCCTCTCTCCTGATTGACATCTATTCTATATCCCTCAGAAAATCAAACAGAAATGCTCGGGGCTTATTTGACTGAGGAGGAATGAAAAAGAGCTGCAAACTGCTATTGCGCTGGCTGCTCCTGGTAGAAGGAGCAGGGAGATGTCTTCAGCAGTGTGGGCTTTCTCAGGATGTGTCACCTTGTCAGAGCAGCGTGTTCCTCCAAACACATCAGCTGGAGGAGTAGAGAAAAATGAGTCAGGCAGCTCTGCCAGCCGTGCTGTGTGACTTGCCGAGCACGGTGCCCGTCGCAGAGACATGGAGAGGACAAGCAGGGCCCCCAAAGCAGGTGCTGGCGTGGGATGGCTTTGCCTTGGTTGCCTTGTTGGGTGATGGCCACCACACACGGTGTGGGACAGAAAAACCTCTGGAATTGCTGATGGTGCCTTCTCCTGGCTTCTGGAAGTCACTTGGAGGAGAAATCGAAGCCACACAAGGAATGGGGGGAAGGTGCGGTGGATAAGGAGGTAAGCTGAACCAGCAGGTCCTCCTCCAGGTGGATCAGCAAGAAAAGGTGATTCTCCTTCTGCAGGATGAGTGTCTGCATCATCTTTCTGCCAAATCTGAGCACTTTCAAGTTACATTTTTTTGAATAGTAAAATGTTGCAAAGGAATAAAAAAATTAATTGCAGGGGAATGAAAAATTTGGGAACCTACCTACTTCCCTGCCGTGTCCCATCCATGACAAGCTGGAGGAGCACTTGTTGTACCAGGGCTGGAATCTGCTTCTTGTGAAGATTTGATGTACAGAGAAAAGCCACCAGTGCCCTGGGGAAATTGCA